AAGAGTAGTCTATATGTTGTTTGGCTAAACGAATCCGTAAGACCTTGGAATAATAGTCAGTCAGTCAGTCAGTCATATAAAAGGACGTTATTAGATCTTTATCAGGTTTTACTTGAATAAAGTAGCAATACTTATATGTTTAAATATGTAATCTATTTGATTGTTACCATTGTCACACATACTAGCTTGATTGGTTTAGTATATATATATATATACAACATAGGACCGAGCACATATATGCATCGGTCCAAGTTGCCACACCTCATTAGCACAACAAGATGAACACCGGATTCATAGGAGTGGTTAAGTTAATGGTGGTAATATATAACAGAAAGATTGCATATAGATATATGGTACAGGAAGAAAGTTAGTTCGTAGAAAGAAAGACATGAAGCGATTTTAATCTCTTAATTTATGGAAGACAGAGAGTGTATACACCGACGCCATTATGATCGATTCTGAGCCATGTCACACAGTCTCCAACCATTGGTTACGATAGTCAGGCGGACCCCAACCGAGTAGTCTGCATCTAATAACATAGCTGAGACCAGAAGTTAGTGACTTCAAGCACTGATGCCACGTATGGGTTTGGTCACCCCTAACTTTCTTCCAACTATCCACAACACCGGTTAGCATTGTGTGTCGTGATGATCGGTGTTCAGGCATACGCAACACGTGGCCCAGCCTTCTCATTCGATGAAGATTCACAAGCTCATCAACTGACTTACCATCATTTGCTAATACCCTGTGTCTAACCTCACTATTACTTACCCGGTGATCCCAGCAGATTCGAGCAATATTTCCAAGATATCTGTGGTCAAATATTAATAACTTACTTGGAAAAGAAGGGACACACGTCACTATGACCACCTCTAATCCAATTTCCTTTTCAAGTACCTCCGGAAGAACCCTTCCACGGTGTGGGAAACCGGGAAGTGAAAACCGCCGTCATACCTCTAACAGCACTCAAGACCACTGTTTATTTATTTATTTTAACACATAGGTATTGGTACCAGGAGGCACCAAATACATATGCGCCACACGAATCTCAATTGATTTGTGTGAGGGCTGTGATACTGCCCGGGTGCCCAAACCGAAGCAGGCAAGACCACTGTATTCATAATCAACCTCCCTCTTCAATTCCTATTATTCCTCCTACATCGACTTTAAAACCTAAACTTCCTCCTTTGGTTTCTTCCTCAAGTATCACCAAAGCCAACGATTCTAGTGCGCGAAACGCTGTCCCAGTCTACTGAAACCTCGCTCCAAACTACACATTGGAGCCTTCAACGTACGCACACTATGTCAAATCGGTCAGCAGGCATCCTTGGCTAAAACCCTAGAATCTCGTACAATCGATGTAAACTGTGTCTCCGAAACACACATACAGGATCCTAGCGTGGTCATTCACTTGACTTCACCTCGGCAAAATGGAGAGCCGACGAGATACACCCTCCGTGTATCTGGCGACCCGACGGCTGGTACTCGTGGACTGGCAGGTGTAGGCGTAGCATCAAGCATGAGGGCGGAACAAGCGCTATTAGAGTGGATCCCCGTTAACAGTCGTTTATGCGCTGTTCGGATAAACGGTTCCGTAAGAACCCTGAAAGATAGGGACACACATCGTTGCCTTTTCGTCGTTTCTGCCTACGCTCCCACTGATTGCAGCTCGGATGAAGTGAAAGATGAATTTTACAGAAGACTCTCTGAACTTCTTCAGGAAGCTAAACGTTCAGACATTGTACTCATAGCAGGTGACTTTAATGCCCAGGTAGGTAGCTTAAACTAAACAGAATGACATTTAGGTGGGTATTTTTGTATTCCGGCTCAGCGAACAGATGATGGTGATCGTTTGCTGCAACTGTGCTCAGACAACCGTTTATTTTTAGCAAACACAAATTTTAAGCATAAGGCAACCCCCTGCACCAAATCAACGATGGACTCAAATAGACAATATTGCCATCAGTCATCGTTGGAGAGGGTCGATAGACGATTGTCGCTCATTCTGGAATACCTGTTTGGACTCCGATCATGCTCTTATACGGGCACGCATCTGCTTGCGCTTCACTGGACGCAAAAACGCCACATTAAAAAGACCCATTAGAGCTTAATTGAGTAACGAGAAAAGCAAAAGTAGGTTCCAGTAACAACTGAGGTCACACTTAGGTAGTTCCGATGTTGCTTGGGAAGATATACAAACAGCTGTGGAAACAACAGTGACATCTATTAGTGATTTAAACCAAAGGGTTACTAAGAACCAATGGATTTCTTCAAGGTCTATTGCACTGATGGATTCTCGTAAACTCATCCCATTAGGCTCTGAACACGAGGATGGGCGAAAGCGAATCAGATCTAGGTTAAGCAAATGTCTAAGGAACGACCGTGAGCAGTGGTGGGCATCTAAAGCAAAAGAGATGGAAAAGGCGGCGGCTATAGGTAACACCAAACAGCTCTGCAGACTCATAAAAGAAACTGGAACTAAAAAGTCCAGTGCAATTAAGACTATCTCGGAAAAAGATGACGTTCTTATCTGCTCCCAGTCCAGACGTTTAGAACGATGGGCGGAACACTTTAAGGAGCAGTTCAGCTGGCCTTCAGCTACTCTACAACTAACACCATTCCCAGACAGTGTGAATGGAACATTGAAGTAGGTCCCCCGACTCTAGCTGAAGTTCATAAGGCTATAGCTAATCTGAAACGAGGTAGGGCATCTGGTCCAGATGGACTGGCCCCAGAAGTCTTTAAGTATGATGGTCCAATCTTCTTCAGAACTTTGAACACAGACATGCTTATCGGCGTCCGACGGTGAAATTTTCTCTTGACCTAAAAGCAGCATTAGACCGAGTGTGTCATTGAAAAGTGTACGTCAGAAGTGCATAAACCTTATGAAGGTTCTTCACTCGAACACTACCTGTCGAGTCAGAAATTATGGCAAACTGTCATCTGATTTTGCAACCCCAATTGGGGATGACCACCATCTTCATTTTCGTTCAGTTTCATTATAGAACCACTACTGGAAATAACGTGGCATCGGTGATCGAAGTCATGTTGGCAGATCCAGACTACTCGGTTGGCGTCCACGTGACCATCCTAATCAATAGTTGGAGACTGTAATATGGCTCAGAATCGATCACAATGGCATTGGTGTATACACTGTTTTCCCTTAAACAGTGAGATCAAATTTACTTTATGCCTCTCTTCTATGAACTGATTCCCTGTATTATATCTTCATCTGAAATGTTTTTTACTACCATTGAAGTAACTGCTTCTATGCATTCGGTGATCATCTTGTTGTGCTTATGAGGTGTGGCAACTTGGACCGATGCATATATTTACCTGACCCTAGGTTGTAGCTGACTGATATGTGCTATGCACCTCCCAAGTGCAAACCACATACAAGGACTGCCAGAAATCTGCTGATAGTTAGCAGATGGAAACTTTGTGTACTGGATGGTTGTGTAAGAGCTGGTTGTGTTTAACCTATAGGATTAACTTAGGTATAATGAACGCTGGGACAGCCTACGCCAGTATGAACTTTCTTCGACATTGCTGTCGTTAGACTGGCTGCACAAGATCAGGTATACACCGCGTCGGTGAGGGGGCGATCGCGCTTTGCGTGTGGAAACAGACCTAGACAGAGTACAACGGGCTACTCTGTGTCACGGACGTGAAGCATGAACGTTGGACTCCCAATAAGATTATTAGGGATAATACAGCGCAATAACCTTGAACGTTATCAGATACGACCAAGAATACCAGCCAGCAGCGGTCTTGTTTCGATGTTCTACATAACGAAAGGGAGATGAAGATATTTAAATGAAATCTTTTACAAGCACATTTCCCTAAACTGAACTACTTTTTCAATCAAATAATACTATCGTTCAACTATGTCTTTAATTATACACACCGTCTTAACCTCGCTATATACAACCTCGTTTTCCTTTTTGTTCATCTTATACTTATTTCGGCGCACTACCAATATTTTTGTTGAAACACCGGACATTAAAAGATGGTTTAACAACCCAAAAATTTTGGTCGAAAGGATGCAAATAATTTGTTTGACTAGGAATAGACTGCTTCAATATTGCGAAGAACGGGAATATGGCAACCTGAACAAATGAATCACGTACTGCACCCGCCTTGACTGATTTCAAAAAAGACCAACTATAATACTTACAACGAGTTTTTACACGTATTAAGGTAACGTAAGTTAGGGGATTTTTATTGTAAACTTGGTCATTCGATTTAGCCTTTCGGTGTTTCACTGCTTCCAAGCTTAACGATCCGTTTCAACCACAATTAATAAGATAAATCTCACCAACAGCAAAATGTACTGTTTAGTATATTTAATGAGGTTCTACCGAGCTCTTGACAGTAAGTTTACAACTACTCATATAACAGCATTCATTACAATTTAAAACTCATCCCTCCCGAGACAACCGAAATATCGAATGAGTGGAAAATGTAAGGCATCGGACCGCCTATCACAAAGGATGTTCAGTGATAAATCACTTCATCCGCAACGAAATATGATTAGGTAATAAATCCATGCCTATGCCATGTAAGCTAGCAATGGATGCTTAGAATTAATAGACGATTAGCGAAAAAAGGCACGTATGCTAATCATATCTAAGAATTGGTTCGAGTTCACACATAAAACACGATATTTGTGCAGTGACATTTTAACATAACAATGTTTTCTATTTGATATACAATACTCAATGATTCCTCTGGGCTGAAATATCCATGGAGATCAAACATCAAGCGTTTTGTAACAAATATGCCGGATACATTCTGATTTTTTAGACTAATAACCTTCAGCAAACGTAGACAATCACTTGAATATAAAGACATGTTGGTACCTACTTTCACACAACTAAATTGGTAAGGAAAATAAAGTAAAAGTACTATCTTTACCTATTTTTTTGTAAGGATCGGAACCGGTACCCAATAACGCAAAGCCGGGAATTCACACTGTTGGACATCGATAACAAGATGCAAAACCAAGGTAAACACATTTCATAATTCGAAGGTACATTTTTTATACAAAGTGCGTTTGAGTTAGTAGGGTAGGCAATGTTTTTAATTAATAGTATGAATTGGATATTTGAAGGAGATTGAAAAATCTACACACAAGAAAACACCTTACAAGTAGGCAAAACACACGAAAGAAAACAAACACGCAATAGAATAATTGGAAGAACCGAAAACCCAACACTAAATTACAGCGCACAAAGTTTTATGGCCAAACTTTACAATTAGGAAAGAATATTCACAGTCAATCACGCCATTTAAAAGCCCGGATTTAATATTGTGCAAAGAATGATAACTATCAGAAGAGGGATATAAACAAGTGAAACAGGACAATTTAAATACAAAAAAATAAAGGGTTTATATATATGTATGTATCTTCTACTGGTATTTTATACATTAGTAGAAGTGGTTGTCATTAAATTGCGCAGCAAATAAGAGAGACAGTACAGGTGAAAGCATAGTTAAAACGTGCTCAAGGATTTATCTTGTTCACAGTAATCAAGGACGAAGTTATTAAAATTGATCAAGGCAATCACAAATTATCAATAACCGATGGAAATACATGTGCATTTCAAGAAGAAATCAACAAAACTAATAGAATGTATTATAATTATGACTTCCATTGCGGCAGTATTAGTGTTAAAAATAGTTGTGTACAAAGAGAACAAGAGAAGTATAAGAAGATTAAAACTGACATGTTTATGATAAGGCTGGAAACAAAAGCTATTCATAAATTCTTATTTTGTTTCTATTACAACAACACGCTTACGTTGCATGTCTCAGTTGATATCTAATATTGTACAGCATTACGCTAATTACGGTGTGAATTGAGTCAGTGATTATGTTTATATTCAGGTCAACTGATAAGATAACTTATAGTTGCTTTGAATTAATTTAATTACTTCAGCAATAACTAAGCATTGTCTTATGTGAGCAATTTAGATAAAAATCTGCTCTTATAAAAAGAATTATCAAAAGATAAAATAAACCTCTATAAGTTCCTTAACTCAGGGATACCGGAGAGAATTTTGGCTACAGAACCATCATTATCACTTTTTTTCCATTGTGATAAAGCGTCTGCCGATATCACTTTCTTTTCAACGAGCGAAGTAAGCCATGACCCGATAAGAGCTACAAAATACAATAAAAACGAAATTAAATTCACGATGCACATATGTACGTCAAGAGGACTAGACACCAACTTCTGTGAAATCAATATTTTGGAATGCAATCTCAGGATGTGTATAAAAATCATTACAGTATGGAATTATACTACTGACCTGTAATTCTAATTGTGTCACTAGAGGTGAATAATACGGTGACTAATATATTCCAAAAATTTAGTGGTGAAGTAATGATACAACACTAAGAGAATAAAATTTAATTTACCTTGATTCGATGACGGATCTTGAAAGCCATTTAGAATGTGAAGCTCTCTATCAGGCTTGTGGTCAACCAAAATACCGAGGGACATCACAAACGAATCTATCTTCGTTTTTGATTGATCTGTACAAAAAGTAAAAAATAATGATCATCAATACACATAAAATAAACTAACACATAAAGACATAAAAAGACAATCTTAAAAGCTGATTACAATTTAAGGATATTGTGTGCACCATCCGACATCACATACGAATACAGACAAGAATCAGTTATCTTTTTCAAAAATTGAAGATTTTTTGCAAAGAGCTAATTTTTAAATTCCCTGGAATTGCAACTGCTTTGAAATATTCAAAAATGAATTTATTTACATGGACAATTCTGAGGTTAACTATAGTACATTTAGATTTAACAAGGTTAATCTAACATATAGTTTTTTTATTTCAATATGATACCATAAACCCATATTTAGACTGCAACAAGAAAATTCAGTATAAGGTTTTAAAACCAACCGATGACAGTAAAAACTGACAAACCTGGAGATCTTAGCAAAATTGGCATGATCGATTGCATAAACCATTTAGACAGCTTATGTTGAGATAGCGTATTAAAATAACTGGAAATTTTATCAGGAGACGAACGGTTCGTAGTTAGTTCATTAAGCTCATTGAGTTTTCCAGATTCGTAAATATAAACACCAATTATGGTGAACTCTATGGACCGCTCATAAACAAAGTCCCATGTTTTGCTTCCTGTAACACCAAGTTTGTCCCACATAAAGCCACAGCCTTGAAGTTTTTTTACAAGTTGCTCAACACTGGTAGATGCTTTACTTAGTTTAATACAGTCTGCCACCAATTCAGCAGCTCGGTTATCAGATCGGATAGACTCAACTGACCGCAGAAGAGTTGTCATATAATCGGATTCACCACGTATAAGATGATGAAGGATTTCTGCAACGTAAAGCCAACCCTGTGGATAATCTGAAATCCAATCACCATCGCATAATTTGAAGAAGTTTTCACATCTGAAAAATTTACATTTAAATGTGAGATTATAAATGATAATAAATTACTCAAAGTTTTCACTTACATAAAGCAGGATGGATATGGTGTTCGCCCTTAATTAACTGCTCATAATAGGCTAATACTACAAAACTGCATATTATTGGTTAGTGATGATAGGAAGTTTCCCAAGACAATTAAAACTATTGATAGACAATAAGTAGCTTTAGTTGTAACAGTTCGAGAGTGGAAATCAATGGTATGTTAAAGAACCAAAATAAAAAGTTGGTTGAATGATGCAGCTTTGACAAATGAACGTGAATTGACACAGATGTTGTTATGGGATATGTATACATGATATTCGCATACAAAATTGAAGCATTTTCACAGAAAACTCCTGTTATGTACTTTGACACGTGTTTAATCACATATTTTGAAAGTTTCCTTACTCAATTTAATACGACCTTCACATTAAAAAGCACAAAACAGCTGTTATAAAGTAACCCTTCGTGTAACACACGCTCATGAAGGTGAGTTCGATTTCAATAGCAATATACAAACTTACGATGTAATAATATTATTTTCTGTAAGGATTCCTTTATGAAGCATATCTACACAAAAGCGACCAACTTCATTTCGCTTTTTTGAGTTGCAGTCCATTAGAAGCTCAAATACATTGTGAAGTAAAGCTGAACGTTTTTCAGGCTCACACTTGACAATAGTACAATGCTTAAAGAAGAAAAAATCAAACAATTTGAAGTCTTGAGAAAGTTTGGTTAAAGGAAGTTTATGTTTAATCAAACTAGATGAAAAAAGGTGCTCTTCGAATTTTTATCAGTTGACATGGGAAACGATTACTCATTGAATCGGTACAGCCGCGCATGCGGAATATTGTTCGGTATCAAGTACTACAAATTAAATATACACAAGCAGAACTGTCGTAGATTTTGTACTCTGAATCACTTCTTGTACTTACGATACAGACAAGCATATGGACTACTACCATTTGGATTTTATGTTGTAAAATGTAAGGGAAACTACGCAATACCTTATGGAAAAGAATATGTGTAAACTATATTTCCAATGCTTAAACAGTGTGATTACGATACCCTACTTTTAAATGCAAAATGTTGGTTCACGATTGGCGCGAGTTAGTGCCTGGATTAATGACGAAGTGTCTGAGCGCAACTGCCGCTTAAATTATTCTGGGAATCTCTTTAAACCAGACGGACTGATGTTTCACGGAATCTCAACATGGATCTAGAAAGTCCGGATGGTCTTTGCCAACTTGCATCTTTATTTATATTATTTGAACACATAAGTATTGGTACAAAGGGGCACTGAATACTTATGCGCCACACAAGTCACTTGATTTGGGGTGGGCTGTGATACCGCCCGGGTGCCTAGACCGAAGGAGGTAGTTTTCTCGGTGTACTACGCCCGGAGCCCTCGACTTAAAAGTCTAGTACACAAGGCAGTGGAGCAACGTAAGATGTAGTCCCATAGTAACCGGTGACCAATAATTGGTTCGTAAACCATTTGTTCCCTCAGGATCCTGGGACCGATGTGCACCATTGGTCTGTAATCACGGTTTTCCAACCCACCCCCTAGACAGACCCACAACGTCGACCAACCCAGTTAAAGCGCCGGACACTCGCTTTTCATCCTTAGGTTAAGTTTGCGAAATGCAACCGAACGGTTAAGCGCTAGTGTCAGATAGGGATAAATTAACACAAGACATAATAGTTATATTTAGACGTACACATTCATCATCCGACCTTGAAACCGTATCCACTATTGAACGAGCAGAACCCTTCGTTTCCTCAAACATTGATTCATAATCATTTTCTTTTACTTTTTGTCCTACCGGCAGAGGACGAGCCCATGCACCCTGTGGTCCCACAGGGACACGTGGGGATGATTCACGAGAGTGTACTGAGTGTTGATTGCGTTTTGAATGGCTTGACAGAAGTCAGAGAAAGGATAAATGTTGATAATGGTTAATAATAAGAATCTAGAAAAATAATGTACAAGCTTATAGTCGACTTTTCATTATGGGAACTCGAGAAGCTATAAGCATGTATTAACTATATCAACTTAACGTTTACAAAAACGCGTCCTCGTTAAATTACTGTTAATTCTTACTCGAAAAATGAGTGGTGATACTGAGTTTGAACCATAAATACTAACTGAAGTCTTTGTATGACCATGAATTATAAGATGAGTAGCAGTATACTTTCTACTACCTCGTAAACGCTTATCCTACTTAAAAACAACTAAGATTTAGTTTCATTCTCTTGAAAGCCATTTACATGCTAATATATTCTTTTCCAAGTTATTTGACTGCAAATCAAAAATCCAGCCATACATACTAGGAAGCTTAATATGATGGAATTTGCCTCAAATTTGAATAGTTTTGAAAGACTAGATGACGTTAAACTATACTATTAATAACCCTTTTCATATAACAGTAGTGTGCATTGAAGGGTATGATTTCATTAGGAGTGACCACGATAAATGCAATTAAATTACATGAAGTCTCCGGTTGCTTATGTAAAATATAAATAATCACATGAACGGAAACCGGGTTGTTTCATGTAATATGTCAAATTTACTTTAAGAACTTACTTATCTTCAGAAGGCCGTAGTAAACCACTACCTTGACTCCAATTAGCCACAGTTGGACCAAGTTTTCGGGAATCGTAGGACTGTGGAGTAACAGCTAAACTGGAAGGCGTTAAGGGATTCACTGACTGAACAGATTTACGTTCTGAAAATTTGACTTAGTTTACAGGAAGCTTACTTGTATCTAACTGAATGAAGTTCCGCTTTAGTTTATCATCTATATTTCGTCTAGAAGTATCTATTTGTGGTTGAGGTTGGGTAATATTAGCAGATTTCCAATCACGCGAACGTAATTCCACTAACTCCCGTACTTTGAAAATTTGATGCGTCTCAATGTTTTTCGAATCTTTTAACTGTTCGAGTCGCTTGAAGCACTGATCCAAAACAGACTTAGAATTTTTTTCAAGATTACTGCCACATATATTTAGAAGAATTATGAGAGAGGTTAACGCTTCGGGAGCTGAAGAATCTTTCAATTTTTTCAGACATTCAGTCATAGTCTTGATTGGAATACATCCAACAAGATAGAGTTCAGCAATGAACGTCATATTTCCATAGTAAGAATCTGTTGTCTTTTGTATGTTTGTTTCCCGGTCATCTTCAAGCATCCGTTTTATTGATTCATCCTTGGCTGCTGCAATTTTAGCATCAATGGTGGCGTTTAATTCAGTTATCAGCACCTGAAAGATGATCAAACAATATTTGAACATACATCCAATGGTTTGTTGAACAGCTCTTGTGTTTGTTGTAGAATTAACACTGGAAAGCGTTCTGAACCTTGTACTTCAAACTAAAAGGTATTACGCAAATTGTTAAACATACCCCTTTTAGGTCTTTACATAAATTCGCGAAAACTTTACTGTATTTTGACTGCCTGATAACCTGGAAAGCAATAAATGTATGCAGCGTGAAAATTTAGGTGAAACAAGTGAGAGAATCAAAATATACCACTGTATTGTTTTTACAAAAATTCTTCCCTGGAAGTATGGGTGAACAAGGCTAACCAGATCAGTACTTATCATCTAGTAACAGCTAGGGGAACAGTCGGTTTAGAGCTTCGAAATTAACTAAGCAAGCAAATTGAAAGTGACCAGTCGACTGAATTGATTTTAGGGATTCTAGAGAATTGTGGTCCAAGGATTGTAGTGGAACCAGCTGGAACACTAATTTAAACTTTCATTTGACTAGTATCAATACAGATAATTATTTTAAGGACATGGTCCTGTAGCACCTACTTCGACTAAAACTTGGATTTAGGTAAGCACATTCGCATCAGCAAATACAGAAAAAAATTGGGACTCGGTTTCTGGTGCATTGAAATCAGTTTGGGTTTTGGAACATATAGACATTCAGTACTTTTTAAATGTAAAAGACAAATTTTGGCAATTTTTACTATACCATACGAGCACGTTAAAGGGCTAAACCACACTTTTTGTAACCCATACTGCGAACAAGACTACTGCTATATTTCTTTTCTGTATTGCTAACAATAGTGAGTCCACTTGTTAGCTCTGTTGCTCGAAATCCATTCGAACTCAAGATACATTCATGATAACTAGCTATACATAAATCTCAATGATCATAGCTTATGAGTAATCGTCAATCGATATGAGTATTAATATTGTAAATTCATGTAACGAAAATCCATCTTAACCGATTTCTTACCTCGAATATTTCGGGACACCCCACGAGTAGGGCATAAATATTTAAAAAGGAATGCAATAGCACCCTGTGAGTGGACAAGTCACTTTCTGGTGTGATTAGCTGGGAAATAAAAACTAGTTGCTGATAGCTGCTGATAAATGCTGCAGTGCTCTTACCTAACTTATTCGACTCATTTGTAAGTGCCCTTACAGTTATCCATCGTTAGTACATATACCAAAATACTCGAGGCACACAAGCTGGTGCACATAGACGGAGCACACCTCCATGAGGGAGGAATTAAATGCACAAGGAACCCTTTTGGATGTTACTAGAACTTACGAACAGGAATGGCATTCAAAGCTTTTCGTGTGTGATGTGCTTAATTCTAAGCAAAATTCATGTGAAAACTACCACCTATCACATTATTTCACGTTTATTGAAACTATAGACGCTATTTAAGTCTGCATTGTTAGTTCCTAAATACAACCCAGAGCAATCCGGTGCATGATAGGAAAACACCGAGTCTCGTACATAAACACTAATGAAGTAATCATCTAGTGTGAGCACTTGGACTTACTTTTTGGAAAATCGTTCTTGCCAATAGACTGAGATCTTCGGGGGTTGAAATGTTAAGTTTCTCAATATCACTGATAGTTACTTCTAAGTTGCTAGCCGAAACACGGTTCAAAATCATATTTAGCTCTCGAGCGACCTCCTTTGAGTTATCTGTTACATTATTGGCTCCGTGATTAACAAGTTTTGATGGGACGAAAGCACCTTCAACACGTTTGATAGTAATAGTTGTGGGTATTTCGATAACTCGGCCTTTGTGCATATAATTAGATTGATTGCGAGTCTAACAGATAGAATGAACTTAAAGAGCACTTACCCTTTTGATATTTGCAAAGCTATTCATGATATCCTATGTTTATTACATTAAAATTAGAAAAGTGCTTTCTTACCCTATAGTTATCTAACGACAATACAGCGCCTGATGCTTTACAAGAAAGAATGAAGTCACGTTGATATCTTTGTCTGTCTATCGTCTCCTCTTTTGCCTCCTCTTCTTTTGCACCTTCCCACTCGGTTTCGTCTTCTTGTGACAAGCGTTCATCTAGTGACTTGACATGCTCAAGGACCTCATTACACAAGTCGTCTGAGCCCACACTTTCTTTAGGTGGGGCATCTCCTTGTGACGTCTCTACGCTTGATATACCTTCATCATTATACTCAGTGCAAACAGGCTTTTCGCTTTCGTCTTTTGTTTGAGATATGGGTGGTGATTCATCTGCCTTAGGTTGTATAAGTAATGGTTCTTTCTTGCGTGATTCAGAAGGGATTTTTGATGCTTCTTCTAGATTGACTTCTGATTTTGTTATGGGATCAAACACACTTAATGGTTTCTTTTCACGGATTGGCTTAGGTAGCGCAGTATTAAGCGGCTGGTTTCCGCTTGCCTGGTTGGGGGTTGTCTGGATAGCAGGGATAAGAGGGTTGTAAAAAGCATGTTGGTACTGAGCGCAGTCAGTGTGCGCAGCGACACCCATGTGATCATGCGGCTGAACGTCGGAGACAGGCATGCAAAGAAATGGAGCTTGTGTCATACCACCGCAAAAAAACCGAGGGAGTTGATCCGGATGGCGGAGAGAATAGAACGGGGTAGGGGCAGGTACGCCTACACTTTCTAGAGGAAAGTTATTAGGTTAGTGGGCTTACCTAAGCGTGCACCTGTTTGAGGCTGTAAAAACAAGAGGCATTTAAATTAATTAGAAGAGAAATTGAAAGAAACAAACTACTACATAACCACCTCTCTACAATTATAGAACTGAGAGAGCAGACTTAATAGTGTCCTATGACATGAATATGGTGAATACATTCAAGTATAAAACCACCCCATTGACTTACATAGTAAGACATTGCCTAAAAGCATGAGTGTTAAGAAGTGTAGGTCGACTTACCATGTGCTGAGCGTCGGTTGACCTGTTATTACTAAGAATGTGAAATTAATTATAAGCAGTAACATGGACATACATATTTAAGTTAAATATACCTGGATACGGCAGAGATGTCTGATCACTCATGAGACCACACTTGCCAACATGCGCAATAATGTCAATAAGTGTGCCAACCCTTACCACTGAACTCCACAGACGTGGACATAAGTACGGTAAAACAAAAACAACACCTTAAAATCTAGTGGATTTCGCATTTATAAATATATATAATACCCCTAATAATAAGCCTAAAGATTGATATTTTGCATAATTTTGAGGACAAACTGCAGTCCCATACATGACTGATTAAATTTCAGTTTGCACCTGTCTTCATGCAGGCCTTTTGGCTTGTACCAAAGCTTTGAGCTTCTTTAAAGGTGGAGGTACAGCTTCTTCTTGAAAGTGATTACCGATGGGACTGATACTTTTTTTCTCGGTATGGCTTTCTAATCACTGACGACGAAAAAGGAATATCACTTAGCCTTCTTTCAGTAGTTTCGCGGGAGACCGTTCCTGATGGAACAAAAGTTAAAAGAGATGTTAACACTCAACTCATTATTTAAGATACGAAATCCCAATATAAGACCAACTTCCTTCCTACGAACGATGGAAAATTTTTGAACGATCCGACCACCTGTCGTACGAGATTTAGGAAATGCCAGCCACTAACTTGGTTTGCACTCGTCAAACGCTCTCAAGTATCTCGGCAATCTAACAAGACATGGACTTGACGCTCGGATGAAATATTCTAGTATAGCAACTCACGTGCAATAGAGTTTGTTCACATTTAATTCGGTTAAGTCATTTTATTAACTTATTAACGAACTAAGTCATCCGTACAACAAAAACTTATCTATACCATTGTATCTTTATTATTGTTGCAAATGTATGAACATGTGTGCTTGAGCACTGCTTACTGCCTACGCATTTATTCACGCTGCTAGCCTTACTGTTAACCGCTTAATTGATTCGATAGTTCATTCATTTCACTATATATATATATATATATATATATATATATATATATATATATATATATATATATATATATATATATATATATATATATATATATATATATATCCATGTTATTCATGTTCATTGCTCTCTCTCGCTTACACGTACTCGTATCCACTCACTCACTCGCTCGCTTGCCTGTTTGCTTTTCGGCACAACTCTTTCATGCTTAACTAACGCATCTGTGTGTGGTCCCATTATGAACATAATCAACATTTCGTATTCGCCTACTGGTTAATATACCGTTGGGGCGATATCTAGTCACGGTTATCAAGACGAACTGTATACGAAGTTTGAGGATTATATTGAATACCGATCACCACATTAGTCGGTCTTGATTAACTGGTATATAAAACCGCAAACATCGTCAGAGCATTTTAAGGCTGTACGATATGCCCGTATGACCATTCACAGTAACATGCACACCTTTTTTCATGTTGTGACATACAACTAATATAATGTCATTAGCACGGCGAAATGAACAACGTATTCATGGGAGTGGTTAAGTTAATAGTGGTAATATATAACAGAAAGATTGCATATAGATATATGGTACAGGAAGAAAGTTAGTTCGTAGAAAGAAAGACATGAAGCGATTTTAATCTCTTAATTTATGGGAAGACAGAGAGTGTATACACCGACGCCATTATGATCGATTCTGAGCCATGTCACACAGTCTCCAACCATTGGTTACGATAGTCAGGCGGACCCCAACCGAGTAGTCTGCATCTAATAACATAGCTGAGACCAGAAGTTAGTGACTTCAAGCACTGATGCCACGTATGGGTTTGGTCACCCCTAACTTTCTTCCAACTATCCACAACACCGGTTAGCATTGTGTGTCGTGATGATCGATGTTCAGGCATACGCAACACGTGGCCCAGCCATCTCATTCGATGAAGATTCACAACCTCATCAACTGATTTACCATCATTTGCTAATACCCTGTGTCTAACCTCACTATTACTTACCCGGTGATCACAGCAGATTCGAGCAATATTTCTAGGGCATCTGTGATCAAATACAAGTAACTTACGAGTATATTCTACTCTTAATGGCCATGTTTCGCAGCCGTATAGTAGAACGGAAGGAACTGCCGCGCAGTATACTCGTCCTTTAATTGATAGACGGATATCTCGCCTGCGCCATAGGTGACGTAAGTTGGCGAAAGCCAAACGAGCTTTTCGAATCCGTGCTGAGATTTCGTCAGACACCAACCCATTTGGGCTGATCAGACTTCCAAGATAAGTGAAGTTGTCAACGCGTTCGACTATTTCACTCCCTATCCTTAGTTCAGGTGTTGACGCAGACCAATCCTGAAGCAACAACTTGCATTTAGAGGGAGAGAAGCGCATCCCAAACATTCTGGCATTGTTGCTCAGTGCTACCAAAAGACTCTGCATTTTATCAGCGTCTTCACCAAACAGGACTATGTCATCTGCGTATTCTAAGTCGATAAGTGGACCTCCTGGTAGGAGATCAATGCCGGAGAATTCAGTCGACGAGAATATTATTTCCATCAGGAGGTCTATGATGAAGTTAAACAAAAATGGAGAAAGTGGACAGCCTTGACGGACACCACTTGAGGTTGCAAAAGCGGATGACAGTTCGCCATAAGCTCTCACTCGATTAGTAGTGTTCGAGTAAAGAGCCTTCACAAGGTTTATGTACTTCTGAGGTACGCCTTTCAATGACAGACACTGCCATAGAACCGAGTGAAATGCTACTTTTAAGTCAAGGAAGACCACCATTGTCGGACGCTGATAAGTATGCCTGTGTTTTAGAACCTGACGAATGGTGAATATGTGGTCTATTCATCCACGACCAGGTCTGAAGCCAGCTTGATTCTTTCGTGTTTGCAGTTCACGAGTCTTAGTTAGGCGTCCGATAATTATTGAGGCTAGTATTTTAGATACTATATTAGTCAAACTAATCCCTCTATGGTTGTCACAGGACGATTTCGATCCCTTCTTATATATTGGGACGATAAGTGATTGTGACCAGTCAGATGGGATTACATCCAACTCCCAGATTTTAGCCAAAATATTAGTCAACCTAATCGCTAAGATTGGACCATCATACTTAAAGACTTCTGGGGCCAGTCCATCTGGACCAGATGCCCTACCTCGTTTCAGATTAGCTATAGCCTTATGAACTTCAGCTAGAGTCGGGGGACCTACTTCAATGTTCCATTCACACTGTCTGGGAATGGTGGGTAGTTGTAGAGTAGCTGAAGGCCAGCTGAACTGCTCCTTAAAGTGTTCCGCCCATCGTTCTAAACGTCTGGACTGGGAGCAGATAAGAACGTCATCTTTTTCCGAGATAGTCTTAATTGCACTAGACTTTTTAGTTCCAGTTTCTTTTATGAGTCTGTAGAGCTGTTTGGTGTTACCTATAGCCGCCGCCTTTTCCATCTCTTTTGCTTTAGATGCCCACCACTGCTCACGGTCGTTCCTTAGACTTTTGCTTAACCTAGATCTGATTCGCTTTCGCCCATCCTCGTGTTCAGAGCCTGATGGGATGAGTTTACGAGAATCCATCAGTGCAATAGACCTTGAAGAAATCCATTGGTTCTTAGTAACCCTTTGGTTTAAATCACTAATAGATGTCACTGTTGTTTCCACAGCTGTTTGTATATCTTCCCAAGCAACATCTGAGTCAGCCTCGTTTTCGGAACTACCTAAGTGTGACCTCAGTTGTTACTGGAACCTACTTTTGCTTTTCTCGTTACTCAATTAAGCTCTAATGGGTCTTTTTAATGTGGCGTTTTTGCGTCCAGTGAGGCGCAAGCAGATGCGTGCCCGTATAAGAGCATGATCGGAGTCCAAACAGGTATTCCAGAATGAGAGACAATCGTCTATCGACCCTCTCCAACGATGACTGATGGCAATATTGTCTATTTGAGTCCATCGTTGATTTGGTGCAGGGGGTTGCCTTATGCTTAAAATTTGTGTTTGCTAAAAATAAACGGTTGTCTGAGCACAGTTGCAGCAAACGATCACCATCATCTGTTCGCTGAGCCGGAATACAAAAATACCCACCTAAATGTCATTCTGTTTAGTTTAAGCTACCTACCTGGGCATTAAAGTCACCTGCTATGAGTACAATGTCTGAACGTTTAGCTTCCTGAAGAAGTTCAGAGAGTCTTCTGTAAAATTCATCTTTCACTTCATCCGAGCTGCAATCAGTGGGAGCGTAGGCAGAAACGACGAAAAGGCAACGATGTGTGTCCCTATCTTTCAGGGTTCTTACGGAACCGTTTATCCGAACAGCGCATAAACGACTGTTAACGGGGATCCACTCTAATAGCGCTTGTTCCGCCCTCATGCTTGATGCTACGCCTACACCTGCCAGTCCACGAGTACCAGCCGTCGGGTCGCCAGATACACGGAGGGTGTATCTCGTTGGCTCTCCATTTTGCCGAGGTGAAGTCAAGTGAATGACCACGCTAGGATCCTGTATGTGTGTTTCGGAGACACAGTTTACATCAATTGTACGAGATTCTAGGGTTTTAGCCAAGGATGCCTGCTGACCGATTTGACATAGTGTGCGTACGTTGAAGGCTTCAATGTGTAGTTTGTAGCGAGGTTTCAGTAGACTGGGACAGCGTTTCGCGCACTAGAATCGTTGGCTATGGTGATACTTGAGGAAGAAACCAAAGGAGGAAGTTTAGGTTTTAAAGTCGATGTAGGAGGAATAATAGGAATTGAAGAGGGAGGTTGATTATGAATACAGTGGTCTTGCCTGCTTCGGTTTGGGCACCCGGGCAGTATCACAGCCCTCACACAAATCAATTGAGATTCGTGTGGCGCATATGTATTTGGTGCCTCCTGGTACCAATACCTATGTGTTAAAATAAATAAATAAACAGTGGTCTTGAGTGCTGTTAGAGGTATGACGGCGGTTTTCACTTCCCGGTTTCCCACACCGTGGAAGGGTTCTTCCGGAGGTACTTGAAAAGGAAATTGGATTAGAGGTGGTCATAGTGACCTGAGAGCGTGACCGTAGTGCCCAAGGGACAGCTGCATGAAGTCGGCCACACACGACTTTTTATGAGTAATTTTTGTGTTAGCTCCGTACTTGTTGAGACCTTACCGCCGGAGATGAGAATCCGTGGGATAAGACAAG